GCCATGCAGAGTAAACCAGTCGGGGTGATTTCGCAGTTACAAGGGATTTTGCGCTAACACCTCCATTTCGCAATTTATTTAATTTTATTTAAACTACAAAAACAAATTAATCGCCCCGACTGCGCCAGTCTAGGGTTTGGCCGGACTCCACACAAAGAAGTTCGTTGATTCTGTTCTAAACTTTTTGGATTTCGGAATTCCCATGATGTATCCTTGGAAGGAAATGATGTATAATAAAGTTAAGGTTAGAATACCTCAAAGTCTGCACTCAGACAGTACACCGCTGCTCGTCGGTCGATACTCCAGCTGTACTGTCTTCGTGCATACTTTGAGGTATTCTCGTAATAACCTCATATTATCAATATCTCAATAGTTTGTATTTGGCAATGAAAGTTTTAAAGTTAATAGTACATGTTATACAAATAATATTATCATATAGTTGAAACCTTTTGCTAATATATGATATATTAATTTCATTGTGATTAACTTGTGTTAATACGACGTGGCAGACATTTTCACACAGTATTGAAGTAATTATTGGTTACTGCTGTGTTTGTTTGTTTTTAGAATTGCAAAACCAGTCCGGAGTACACTTACACGGGACGCCGACATGCAGTTTGTTGGCGCAAGACACCCAGTGCTAGCAAAATACAAAGTGGGATGTTCTAAGCACGGAATTTTGAACGTTGTACAGATCAAGATATTTCTGAACGGTGGATGTTCTCTTGATTTATCGGTTTGGGTGAGTTTCAATAATAATGATATTATTTCATAATATTATTTATTTTTTAACACTTTGAACTCTTGTGTACTGGCATAATGCCGGTATTGGACAACATTTGCGGATATATTTTAGGAAAGGTAACAAGAGTTGAGCAGGTTATTAAACCGTAACAATGCGTGCACCATGTTTAACCTTTTCACCACCAGACTTTTAGCCCAAATTTTTCTGCACTTTTTTTAAATCCTTGAATATTTCTGGAAATGAACCCCAGTTTTCACTCAAACATTTTCATGAGGAAAGTGCAGACTATAAACGGGACTATTTTGTGAATTTGTAATGAAAAGAGGGAACTGGTGGTTAACATAGCAAATATTATTATACGTAGTTTGTCGCCTTTCCTCACACGTTTGTATGTAAATTCCATTTTTCCTGGCAGGTTATTCACCTCTTGAATAATACATGTATTATTTGTGTACGCCTTACTTTTATCAGGTAATGCATGAATTAATTTCAAACTTGCACAATGCTTACAAGATACCGGTTTATGATATCGAAGGCAGAATATGCAAGACAAATTTGCCCAGTCATACTGCTATACGGGGTTTTGGTTCGCCGCAATCAATTGGAATTATGGAAGCAATCGTAGACCACGTGGCAAATAAGTGTGGGCTGCCACCAGAAAAGGTTATGTAACTATATTCTATATTATAACACATTATTGCTCATATTTAGATAATGTTACGTCATTACTATAAATTATCATCACATAGTGTAAGTCGATTGTGTTCTTTCTCTATCTGCATATCGATGTTCAATACGACGACAAAAAATCCCGCAACTGTTCCCGTGTTACGGGTTTATGGCGAACAAATACAAGCATATTAATACATACGAACTCAAAAAACAAAGCATTTCACATGGAGAGTGTATCAACTTTGAAGATTCGTTACGATACGGTGTCGTCTATGTATGTCAGTCGAGGATGATTCACGCATCCATGTTCTCGGGCCACGATCGTTCCTGGCCACAAAATGCTACACTACATATCAGCCGGGTACTAGTAGGGTTAGGGCGTGCACAAAATAGACCATTACAGACTAATTACCTCATTACTATAATGTCAAATATTGTGCTCGTCTGTGGCTTGCATATTATCTCGCATTGAATGGATCATTAACTATTATGTGTTGTTCATAATTATTATATGAATAAATCGACCTACTGTAACGGTTTTATTACCATATTCAAGTATTGCATTGTTACTGCAAAAAAATAATGACTGTGAATGCGTGACATAGTGAATATTAATATGAGCAAAAATAACAAACAAATATAAATATAATCCTAAGAGTGGTGTTTAAAGTCATTATTGATTAACAAATTGGCAATGTATTGTATGAGTGAATCATCAGAAAGAAGTGACCGACAAGATGAAATTTAATGAGTTACTTTCGGATATTTATTCCATATTTATTATGGAGCAAGTGATATTGACAATGAAAAAAGAACTAATGGACATGTGGTATGGTCATTAGATATTGACATGCAGATGTAATAATCATACATTTTTTCCCCTTTCACTGGATACTTAATCTATTAGGTAAGAGAAAGTAATATGTATGATGGATTCAGCGACAGTTTATTTCAAGACATGCCAGATGCCAGAAACATGAGAAGATGCTGGGCTGACTGTCTCAAGAAAAGTGATTACTACAATCGACAAAAAGACGTGGATAACTTCAACAGGTATAGTGATGTTCTCTCTCGGGGTTGTTTACATGTCTAAGTTAGTTAATTTTACAGCACGCTTCGTTTACTTTCATCATATCAAGGTTTTTTTTCAATTATCTTGGCTCCAATATTTTTTTTACGAAGCCTATTTTACTTTTAGTTTAAATCGATGGAAGAAACGTGGAATTGCAATGATACCTGTCAAAAGAGTTATGGGGTGTTTTCCACCACATGTAGTAAGTATCATTGAAGTAGATATTGAACTTATGACGTAATCTTCAATCTGACGTTATTTCAATAAACAGTGAATGATCTACTGGTAATTTGACACATCTGTATCTTATAAACATTTTGTGAACTATCAAATGTGAGTGTGCATTCTAACACGCTTTTTCCCAACTGCAATTTGCAATATGTGTAATCTTGTACATTGTACGAACGAAAAGTAAAAACAATTGAGAACGTCCAGTGTACATCCACATAAATAATAAAGCCATACTCAGACCCAGATGATAGGATGATATCGATTGAAGCTAGATTACTGGATCTCTGCCCCAATTCAGAAATATACTACCTTCTTAATTATGGGAACTTGATATGTAGTAGTGATTGAAAGGGCCTTCAACGACAGCTCAAAACCGGCAAACTGTTCTTCTTTGAAATCCGCTTGCAACGGTCACGACTAAACCGCGGTTTGCGATTTGCGATCTATGATTCACAATTTGAGGTTTACGATTTGCGATATTATATGAAATAATATATGGAAATGCAATTTACTTAAACTAAATTGATTTGCAGTAGAAATGTAGTACAAATTATAGTTTCATTTATAATGGCCTGCGTAGTTTGGGGTTAAGTAAAGGGTGCAAGTTATGGTACAGGTCACGATACCTTACCCATTTCTATAACTAAGCTTCTTCGGTATCAATCGTTGCCATGATAATCGCAGTGTAAATCCAATCACTACATTCAACCGTGCCGTAAATGCAGTAATTATATACATGTACGATTCTTGATACTAAAGTTACAAAATTTAGTATACATATGTTGTATGCTTTAAGATTCTGGTATACTCTGATATACAAATATAACGACGTCTATGATATTGTTTAGAATGAGTCAATATTCAAATTTCTCTTTATATTAGGGTGGAGCACTGGTTCATATCTATCTAGATGGTTCAGTTTTACTCAGCCATGGAGGTATAGAGATGGGTCAAGGGCTGTATACCAAGACTAAACAGATTGCTAGTCGTGTTCTTGGCATTTCTAGCGAGTATATTCATATCGTTGAGACAAGTACGGATAAAGTGCCTAATGCAGTACCGACTGCTGCATCCAGTGGAACAGATTTCTTCGGCAATGCTGTCAAGGTAATGTTCATATGTTATTGACATTTATCAGAGCTTTCTATATTGTTACGAACCCTCATTAGAGCATGCCACAAGATGTGGAGCAGCTTAACAACATAATACTGGTTACTGCGTCGACCAATAATAACTTACTTCTTTAATAACTTACTTTCACATTGAGAAATACCACTGGTTGGGCACATTAGTCATAGGTGGGATGGAGATATCTTTTACAGTGGAAACACTCAATGAAAACAAAAAATCTCTTTTCAAATGCTATTGAATATATGAATATCAATAATACGTTACGAGTATGCATGTGCGTGATGTGGGAGAAACTGTAGAGGAACGAAGAAATGTGTGGGTTATTTTATTAGCGCGCCGCATTGTTGTTCTCACAAACAATATTGTAACTGATTGTTTGTCGACTGGCTGGTGGTGGTGAAACTACAATTTAATGTGCGAACAAAATCACGCAAAACCATTTGTATTTGTTTTTTCAACTTAGCTTGCATTCATAATTCAAATTGAAATCAATCATTGTTTTACGTAACACATCTTTATCGGGGATGTTACCTTGAAACGAACACTTGAACAATCTTAATGTTTTATAGTTCGGCGCGTTCTATTTCGTTGGTTGACGCTGCAAGGAAAAGTCAACGGCTGACTTCCGTCTGTCGTATATAAACAAAAGTGATAGCTGGTCAAAAATCGAGTCTTTTAGTCGCGTCTCAGAGGAATATTGTTTCCCCAGCAGTGATAGTATTTCAGACATATCACATGGGTGTGTGATTGTCTGCTCTATCTTTTTTCACAGAATGCTTGTGAAATATTGATGGGAAGACTGAATCCATTCATTAAAGATAATCCCAGTGGCACATGGAAAGAATGGGTACGTATATCTAGTTATTCTGACATTAAAAACTGACTGATGGTAGTCACTGTAATAAAATTAATGGTTTCTATTTTGCAGGTCAATATCGCCTACCAGAACAGAGTCAGTCTATCAGCAACAGGGCATTTCAAGTGAGTATATACATGATTTTGGCCTCAGAAATGTCCAATGATATTATATGATTTATGGCTGTCAGGAATTTATTTATTTAAGTTGAATTATTGTCATGAATTAGTTTTCGCGTATCTGTTGACCGACTTGGTTAGCTGGTTGCTAGTGAATGGCTGTGTTATATCTGTCATCATTTAGGCTCATGCGAGGTCCTGGACGGAACTTGACTCAGTGATTTGGAACTAATTACGATATAACCGTCGCTATCCAAACTACTATTTCTGACTTTGGTATTTGTAGTTTATTAATATAGCGGACGATTAATCAGTAGTTATGACGTGTCCAGTACTTAGTGTGATTGGCTGTATGATTGAAGACCACGCCTTATAGACTTCTTTGTAATTGGTTAAGTTTTGATACGTAATAAACGGTCTAAGTCCTTGGTCACAGAGCGGGAGAGAACTCCACGAGGCGAGAGCCCTGGGCAGAGTTTCAGACGGACGAGTCAAGCCTGAGCAGGCTCTGTATCACAATTAACAGAGCAATTTGAAGAAACTTGTGTCACTAAAGTTTTGACACCTTTGTTTTCACAGAGACGCGTTCTTCGAAAATGTGCAAGTCCCAGCCCAACTTTTTCAACTAATTGTTCCATAATAGCAGTAGTAGCACCTTATTCAAGTGCCATATATCTTGCTTTCGGAGTTGTAATTACCCCCCAGAGATTCAAATATTTATTATATTTCTCTCAATATTATTTTGAATAATATAATTTATACCTACTCACTGGCCTATTTTTGTTTTGTTACATTAGCTTTGAAGGCAATTTTGGTCTTGACTGTGATGATCCAAGCAGTAGCAAGACTGCATACTATTTTTCATATAGCGCGGGGTGCTGTGAAGTGGAGATTGATTGCTTGACTGGTGATCATTATATAAGACAGATGGATATTGTATTGGACAGTGGCAACAGTTTAAACCCAGCCCTGGATATTGGACAGGTAAGTTCAACGTCCCTTTCCATCAATACATTGTCTATCAGTATAAAGTAACTGAACCAATGCTTTCATCACTTGTGGGCTATAAACGACTATAAACTAGTTCTCTGCACAGAGATCTTATTTCTTAAACTTGAGTTCAACACTTCAGCTGTTTTCACTTCATTGTCAGTTGCTTTGATATCAAATTATATAACCGCACATGTTCCGAGTTGAATGAACTGCTAGACTACTGACTGAATGCTAAGGCAAAGGTGCTTGTTTGTCATTTTTGTGGTCAAATACAGAAATATTAATCCGCACTATAAATGTTTGAATACATTGCAGGAATAATATTAATAACTGTAATAAATAAATAACACACCAGTAGCTTGAAACAATTGCATGCATTTGTAATTGAATCTTTAAGGTGTATATTACTACTACTGAACTGGATAGGGGTTTTGCAGCCCTCGGATGTATGGCTAATGCACCCTTGCAAGCTCGGGCACTCCCGCCTTTAAATTCGGGAAGCGAAAACGGTATCTGTCCTGTTAACTATTTCCCTTATGTTCTTTCCGAAGACAAAACTTTACTATAACTGCCTTCCTCGAACCCATGTGTCATGTGATAAGATATCATTCAATGGTAATTTGTGTAATTCGGTCCAAAGCAGTTGATTCCGCTATCCAAACATTCTGATCCTAGCCATTCCAGGTCCTTTTCTCAGTCTGGTTAACACTCACTTCTAATGCTATTGTCTTCCTGGCCTCCAGGCAGTACTGCAAACTCGAATCGCCACTGTTGATTTACTCTGCCTGGCAGGACTTGGGTCTTGAATTTCATTGAGAATGAAATTGTTAAGACAATGAATACTTGTCTTGCTGTACATGGACTCGACATTACAGTATGCATCCATGCTGCAATCGAATTGGTACATTTGTACTAACAAATCCAACAACTCTAGTTGTTGTTTGTTGAAACTGTACATGATCATGCACTAGTTGAGGAGTAATATACGTCACAAAAACATTTAAGGTGTATATATTATGTCGTTGCCATTAACATTAAATGGTGCGAATTGTATTACAGATCGAAGGTGGTTTCACTATGGGATATGGCTACTATTGCATAGAAGAACTCAGATATTCAGCAGAAGGAGAATTGTTAACAAGAGGTCCCGGAATGTACAAGATACCATGGATCAGTGATACGCCCAGACGATTCAATGTATCACTGTTGCCTGACGCCCCAAACAAAGTTGGGATATTCTCAGCTAAGGTGAGTACAACTAAATTGTCTTAAAATTTTAATTCCATTTCATTGATGTAACATTAGTAAGTAATCGCTTATATATGTATACAT